ACAGAGTAGACGAGACCATTGAGAGGAAACCTTCCCCTTGCCACCACATTTTGTACATTCAAGTCTCGGAACGCCCTTCTTTGTCGGCCCCCTCGTCGGCGCCAGGACGTGACAGCCTTGTTGAACAGCTTCTCGGTTGTGAAGAACCCGCTTCTGCTCTAGTAGAAGGTCTCGTCCAGTCATGCCCTTGAGATCTTCCAGCTCGGCTAGTGTCCTCTGTACGGTAGCACGCGCTGTCGACACAGCCGTCTGCTTCTGAGCTCTCTTGACAACTCCAGCCTCACGTGCGGCATACGCAGCCTGCATCACAAGATCGGAATCGCGGACAGTCTTGCTGATGTCGTCAGCCAGCTTCGGTGCCACCCAAATAGGTTGTGGTACTGTGCCCCAGGGTGGGACAACTCGAAGGCCAGCCCGTTTGTTGGTAGTTGCCAGCGCAACTGCGTACAGAACTCGCATAGTGTGGTCATGGCTGACGAACGTGGTACGACATTTGAAACCTGGTACCTGACGTGTGCCCAGTGGTGTCAGCACGCTCGAATCACGCTGTGTGGTCCTCGGCGCCAGTCTACAGCGACAGAGTAAGGCCACACGAGCAGCTGCTGTCGAGAAGCACCTCGCCATGCGCTCGAGTGTGGCAATAGCTGCATCCTCCTGTGCAGTAGCAAGAAGCAGACCTGTGCATATTGTGAAGTCAATGGCCAGCTCCGCCCAAGAAACCGATAAACGCGCCGTCGGAGTGTCATCTGCAGCCCCGCCTGACTTTGAGACATACCAACCAATAGTTGGGAATAACGCTTGCTGGTACATCCACTTGTTGTAACCCAGGGGTTCTGTATTGCGTGGCGTAAACTTCCATGTCCTCCGACTCGGCTCAATCGGACCCCAATTGTACCCTGGGAAAGTCATCTTCGGACTCCATGTTCTTGGATTGCACGTCGAGAAATCCATATCCAATGGCGCAGCTCCAGGCCCGCTCGACGTACTCTTTGATGTTGTTGGTAGTGAAGATCCCGTGCCAGTGGCACTCGGTGTCGGTCGATTCGGTGGTGCTGACTTGCTCCGAAACCTTCTCGCAAGCGTAGTAGTGATTCTCGTCGTAGCTGGTGGTGGTGGCGGTGGTGGTTGCAGATCCTCGCCATCGCCTGGCTGGTCCATGTTGAGATGCACCCATGGATCTTGTTCTCCATCTTCGTCTGGCCCAAGAGGATCAGCTCCGTCATTGTCGGCGTCCAGTCAAGTTTGCACCTGCTCACATCGCTCATGATGCTTATCACGGCCAAGCTCTCGCAGTGCAGCCGCACGTCTTTCCATAATAGTCGCCGCGTTGAGCTGGATGGCGTAGCACAGCTTGTGATCCTGGAGATGCTGCCGTCGAACATTTGCTGGGCAGAGTGAAGACGAGCGGCTCGAACTGCACCTGCATCTGCTTGCTGATTACGTTGCCAAAGAGACAGATCACCATCTTGGACCTCGCTCTGTTTGCGGTGTGCTTTGACCTTCTGTACCCTGAAACTGTCAGCGCCCTTGATTTCCACACCAGTTGAAATAGCTGCCCAAAGATCGCGATGCTGTTTCGGATGAATAGTGTCACCACTCAGCAAAGCCGAGAACTGGCGCACGCAGTAGTCATTGTCGGTCAGATAGAGCTGCTTACACCAAGACCGGGGAACACCATGTCGGAGTGCAGCAACTTCAGCTCTCTGAGCTCCTTGAGAAACATTGAGAAGTGGAACCTCCGTGTTGCAAACATGGCCCTGTCCATAGCGTAATCAATTCTCTGAACGACGCAGTCTGAGATCTGAAGCTTGGCCTGGGCAAGCATCATCTCCTGTAACGACAAGGTAGCCGTCTTGACAAAGTCGAACTTCTTCGTCCTGGCCAACTTCGTAGTTATCATCAGCATGATGCGATGGTGGAGGTAGGTCAGGCTCGTCAGGAAGAAGCTCAGCTGCAAAAGAGTCGTATTCAGCACGATCTGGCAGAAGCCCACATTGTCGAAGGCAAATTGGCAGCGGTGCAATCGCGTCTCGATCGTACTGGTCTAGTAAAGATCGCGTACCCGTTCTCAATGAGCACAACCATGGAGTACATGATCCATTGTTTCGTCACTGGCACCGCAAAAGACGCAGCATCTGTGGGAAGCCTTGCCATTGATCTAGTGTAGTCGGTGTCCAGTAACTGTGGCCCCTTGAAGTAAAGCGTGCAGGTAAGGAAGCTGCGTACGCAGTAACTCCAGGATGGCCACGTCCGCTATGTTCAGCAGGAGAGGTGGTTGGGCTTTCGGCTCCTCGATGGTGTCCTTATCTTCTGGTAGTAAGGTTCGTTCGGTTCGGCGCAGGATGGCAGTGGTGATGTGGTAATTGATGCCAGTCGCCGTACGCTTCATGTCTTTGCGCTCGAGCAGTGCATCACCCGTCCTCCAAATCCATCGGCGTAGATCTTCGCGAAGGATGTGATGCCACCAACCCGAGGGGTGCTTAAGAAGATAACCAAGTTGACCACCGGCACGCTTGAAGTAGTCAAAGTCTGGCTAAGACCAATCTCCGACTCCTCCTCTCTGCACTGCCTCCTCGTCCTTCTCTTCCCACCCCCCCTGGGGCTTGGCGCGGGCGCGCGAAGCTGTTGGTGCTTCGCGAAGGGCGAAACGCGAAGTTGGCTGCCCTCGAGGAACGTCGGACCTCTGGGACGACGTCTCCCCCCGTTCCCCGGGACGCGCGGCCGCCCCGTGTTGGCGATGGCGCCCCCCCGCGCGGCGAGCCTCGCCCTCGCCGCCTTCGGCGGCCCACTGGCGGCGGCGGGCTGCGCGCAGGCCGCGCTGCTCCTCCAGGCCCTGCTTCTCCGCGCCCTGCTCCTCCGCGCCCTGCTCCTCGCCGTCCCCCCTCGCCATCCTCCCTCCTCCTCGTCGCCCTCCTCCTGCTCCTTCCCTCCTCACCCTGTCCCTTCCTCCTCCTCTCCCTCCCCTGAGCTGGGGGCGCTGCAACTTCTTCACACTGGGCGTGTCCGCCAGGCTTCGGGTCCCAGGACCGTCACAGACCGATCCAGTCCGAAAGCTGCAGCAACAAGGGAGATGCTGCTCTGGTCGAGTTGTCCTTTCCCCAATGAGGCTCGCGTGAAAGGGGCTCTTGTTTTTGGAACAGCTGGGTGACGCGAGGCCTGCGCCCGCTGGTTTTAGCGGCGTTCCCCGAGGCTCTCCCGTTTTGTTCTTCTTTCTGTTGTTTTCCTCCTTGTTTCTTGGCCTTGTTTCTCTGCAGTGGCGTCACTCGGGGTTCCCTGCTCTTGTTACTTTTGCAGCTGCTTTCCTCGCGGTTCCTTGGCCTTGTTTCCTTACCGCATTCCTCGGGGTTGGCCCGGTCTTGTTTCCTTCCTGCGTTCTTTGGGTTGCTCGGTCTAGTTTCCAAGCAATGCGAAACAATGCGAAGCTACGCCGTGGAATGCCAAGCAATGCCAAGCAACGCCAAGCAACGCCAAGCAATGCAAAGTGTCGCCAAGCAGCGCCAAGCAATGCAAAGCAGGGGAAAGCAATGCAAAGCAATGCAAAGACTCGCCAAGCAATGCCAAGCGATACCAAGCAATGGCAAGCAACGCCAAGAACTGCAAAGCAGTACACATCAATGCAATGCCAAGCAAAACAAAGCGACACCAAGCAATGCCAAGCAGTGCCGCTCAGAAAGCGTTCCCCTAACTGGGGGCGCACCGGGCTCATCACGATGTTGCGCGTTTGTTTGAGACGTCGGATCTCAGGCTCCTCCCTCCTCCTCGCCCTGCTCATTCCTCCTTCGCCTCTTCCGCCTCGCCCCGCTCTTTCCTCCTCCCCCTCCTCCAGCCCACGTACTTCACAGGAGTGCAATCAGTGCTTGGTTCTTGGTCCCTCAATGGACGCTGGTACCCAGAAGCCAGTCGACTTCGACTAAGCTCCTTCTCGTCCTCCCTTCTCGCCCTGCTCGTCCTCCTCTTCCGCCTCCTCATCCTCGTATTATCTGGCCTATCCTCTCCTCGACTTTGCTCTTTTTTTTTGTTCTCTCTCTCTCTCTGTATATATATATATATATATGTATACGTTTACGGAAGATGTGTGGGCGTCGGGGGGGGGGGTAGCGTGTCACATCGGCCGCATTCGCTTGCATGGCAGCTGTTCTGGCTGGTTTTTGCGCCCTCCAGGGAGGGCTGATCCGCCCCCGAGGACCACCGTGCCGCGCCCGCCGCCCGTGTGCATCTGCGGCTGGTGCGCTGGACCCCTCGGCGAGGGGAGTCGCTGGCCCTGGCCGAAGGCGGAGCCCTCCTGGAGGTCTGCGAGCTGGGCTACGTCATCGGTCTGACCGAGCAGGCGGGGTGGCACGCCCGCCTCGGCGTGGAGGAGAGGGCGGTGCTGCTCGTGTCCGCCCGGGTCTTGGGTGCGCTGCTCTACGCGCTCGCCGGCCTGGGGGGTCGAGATCGCCAAGGGCGAGGGCCGTCGCCAGGGGCAGGGCCGAGGCTAAGGCTAAGGCGAAGTCCTGGGGCCGTGCGCGCGGCCGCGGCCGAGGGCGCGGCGCCGGCGGC